CTTTGTTTCCTTACAACTTCCCTTTGCTTCCTGACTTTTTCCTTAATTCTCTTGCTTTAGCCCTGGTCAAGAGACCCCAAAAGAAGATAATCACATTCATTCTTAAGGAACACACTCAAAGAAGAACACTCATCTTTTGTGAAAGCAGTTTCTGGATCATTTCCCCATTAATAAAAAAAAAAAAAAAAAAAAAATCCAGGACACTTACCTTTACTTCTTTTATTATAAATTATCCAGTCTCAGATATTTATTTATTTATAGCAATGGGAGAACGGACTGATACAAATATCTTGTTAAGATGTAAATACTATCTAAAGTAATCTACTAAATAAAAGAAGTTTCTGTAAAAACTTCAACATTTTTTTTTTTTTTTTATTAATGGGGAAATGATCCAGAAACTGCTTTCACAAAAGATGAGTGTTCTTCTTTGAGTGTGTTCCTTAAGAATGAATGTGATTATCTTCTTTTGGGGTCTCTTGACCAGGGCTAAAGCAAGAGAATTAAGGAAAAAGTCAGGAAGCAAAGGGAAGTTGTAAGGAAACAAAGTTATGTTGTGGACAGAACCATCCAAAAGGAAGGTGTCAATGAGATAAACAGAATCATGAGTCTTTCAGTGACTCCAGGCTCACCTCTGATTTCATCTTATGAATGAGATGGAAACGCCAGCCATTGGGAAACAAAATACCCCACAGATTGTGTGAAAAAAAATACTGTAAGACAGTAAGAGCATGGTAGGGTGATGATAAGAAACATAAAATGATCAAATTCCAAATTCAAAGAAATCATAATTGATTACATGATTTGCAAATCACCCAAGTCTTTCCATGTCTCATAAAAGATTCCTACATTTGCTCAGTCAGGTGTGGGCTGGGGTTTTCCGGTTGTTCAAAGGTCTAGTTCAATAGGTCAGGGCTCCTTTCTGCCAAGGGACTAAATATAAGCAGCCTATGGCGGGCACGGTGACTCATGCCTGTAATTTCAGCACTTTGGGAAGCCGAGGCGGGCAGATCACTTGAGATCAGGAGTTTGAGACCAGCCTGACCAACATGGTGAAACCCCGTCTCTACTAAAAATACGAAAATTAGCCAGGCATGCTGCTGCATGCCTGTAGTCTCAGCTACTCAGGAGGCTGAGGCAGGAGAATCACTTGAACCTAGGAGGTGGAGGTTGCAGTGAGCCAAAATTGTGCCACTGCACTCCAGCCTGGAAGACAGAGTGAGACTCCATCTCAAATAAATAAATATAAGCAACTTTTGAGCAACCAAGTACCTTACGAAGTCCACTTTATAGTTTACAGAGTTTGCACACACATGTTCTCCCAATCCTTCAAGCCTGCAGTATTCTCTCCTACCTTTGAATTCATATCTTTTTTTTTTTTTTTTTGCACCAATTACTTGGTTTTCAGACATAAGAACAGTCCTTTCAAACTAGAAGGAAACAAAGAGAAAGCCACTTGAACCCTCTGTTTTACAAATGTGGAAGCACTGACTCAGAGAAATCGAGAATTTTGTCCAGGGTTACAAGCTAATTAGAGGTAGAAGCAGAACTAGAACTCAGATCTCTCAATTTCCAGTTCACTTACTACCTTCATCTACTGCCTCGAGGCAAAATTTAAAATGGTTGCTCCCATTCAGAAATGTATAGTCTGTAAATATAGATTAATTTTAAAAAGTGCAAATTCCCAATTTGTTTCTACTGCCTGTAGAGTCTCTAAGTCAGTCCTTAAAGTGCTTTTGCCCAGCACCTTTTTAACCCACAACCCACTCTGTCACTAACTAGGTCTCTAGGCAGGGATAAACAGGCCAGGAGAGTGCAAGCATTCGTGCCTAGAGCATGCTGCTACCATAGGACTTAGCACAAGGTAGCATCAATCTCTCCATATACAACATCTTAAGAGCAGTCACTGTCTTTTTTTAATTCTAAGACTTTACTACTATTTCTTAGTAGCAGCGTCTTCATTATCTTCAGTGCCCCACACTTGGCTTAGTACCTGCACTTAGAGGTACCCAGGGATATTTGTTGAATGAATTACTTTGCTGCCAGTCTATTCATGCCAGTATATTTTTCACTTTGGCAATTTAGTTAGCAGCCATTTCTTTTTATGTTATTATTGCAGAGAGAGAGCACAGCAAAGATCTGCCCACCCCAGGCCTCTACCTAGTGGTCTGGAAATTCAAGTATTCTTATTGGTGGAGGCCATTTATTTCTGGTTAGAAGCTGTCTAAACCTCCTGCTCCTCAACTCAAAGGAAAACACAGGTATGTCTGCCTACTCCTTTCCAAACTTGTTGATACATTTTATCTGTGTGAACTGTCTTTGCCAAGGAGAAGAAAAGGAAGAAAGGAGACAAGTAGGGAGGTAGAGAATGAACACTGAGTAAATATTTTGTGTAAGGCACTTTTTTTGTGTAAGTAATATCATGTTTTTTAAAACGCAAACAATCCTTCAACATAGGTATTTTTCTTATTTTACAAAGAATATATCTAGGGTTGCTCCAGTAGGTTGCTCAGGGTCATATGGCCAGTTGGTAGCAGAGAAAGTTTGAACCCAACTCTGCTGCCTCCAAAATCCATTTTCATTGCATCCCATATAGCTCTCTCAACTAAATGGGATTCCCAAATAAAAAGTCTAAGAGGAAAAATGATACAATTTGTAATAGATAATGAAGCCAGGTATGGCAGTCTCAGCCTTGCAAAGGGCAAGGCAGCAAATACATTCAGAAATTGAAGGCCCTAGGAAATTCTTCTAATCCTCATTGCAAGTTCATGAGTCTGCCTTAGAGTCAGGTAAGTCTGAGGGTTCCTGGAGGACTCAGGAGTCTTTCTTTACTCCCTGCAGTAAGTAAATTCACTTTGACTCTGTGCCTTCTGATATGGGGCTTCTGATGTGATTAAGAGGCAAGCTACAAAGCCATAGAGAAAAACTCCTCCAAGCCCATCCCAAAAGTGCAGCAGCAAACCTGAGCAAAGATGAAGGAAGAGGCAGGAGAATCACTTGAACCCGGGAGGCGGAGGTTGCAGTGAGCCGAAATTGTGCCACTGCACTCTAGCCTGGAAGACAGAGTGAGACTCCATCTCGAATAATTAATAAATATAAGCAACCTTTGAGAACCAAGTACCGTATGAAGGTGAGGGGAACCACAGGATACCTCAGGCTCAGACCAACAGCATGTTCACATCTTGGTTTCAGATCCTGAAATCCATACTCAGTGCAAACTCTGCCTCTTATTAGCAGTGTAGCCTTAAGTTGTTTCAAATGATTATGCTAATTTCCCATTTACTGGTCCTAATAGCTCAAAAAAGATATGCTCTCTTGTTTCCCCAAGGCAAATACCACTGTGATAAGTGACATGAGACTACAAAAATCACACAGGGGTTATACAGCTAGATCTCTCCTCAAAAAATACTGTATCTTCAAAGGCAAAGTGAAATGAGTTATATATGTTTCATAAAACAACAGAATACTTTGAGGTCTCAGCTATTGTTTGTGTGTCTTCTGAATTGGCCAAGGGGGTTGCAGGGAAAAGCAGCACTTGCAACTAAGTCCACATGACATATTAAGGGCCTCAGTGTGACATAAACTTGGTTTACTAGAATTAACTCAGCCCGTTTGATTGAGGCAAAAGCAATGTGAGATGTGCAGAAGGCTAAATGATAAAATCCAGAAAAATTGGTAAAAACTGGTCCTATATCCCCATGTATGTGTATGTGTACACTTCCTCCAGTTCCCGCTGACAAGCATGAGCATCCCCATTTCTAGCTGACATCGTCTTGGGCTCCGGAATATCCCTTATGACGTTCCTTGGGGACTTTGTTTTCTATTATAGTCAGTCTTGCCTCTCCGCAAGGTTAAGAACCTCCCCTCAACCCATGTAATATCCTCGTTTTATGGCAAGGCATGGCCGTGACCAGCTATTCTTCAAGACTCTAAATGCTTTGAATCAAAACCAACATTTCTACTGACTGAAATTCCTGGGATTCAGAGGCACAAAGTGATAGCAAAGAGCCCCTCTAATACTGAGAAATTCTAGCATCCCAATGGGGTCGAGGTACTGTCTACACTCTGAAATACTACAGATTGAGCACTCCTTATCCAAAATACTTGGCACCAGGCTGGGCATGGTGGCTTACCTCTGTAATCCCAGCACTTTGGAAGGCTGAGGCCAGCAGATCACTTGAGGTCAGGAGTTCGAGGCCAGCCTGGCCAACATGGTGAAACCCCATGTCTACTAAAAATACAAAAATTAGCTGGGCATGGTGACAGGCACCTGTAATCCCAGCTACTTGGGAGGCTGAAGCACAAGAATCACTTGAACCTCAGAGATGGAGGTTGCAGTGAGCTGAGATTGCACCACTAAACTCCAGCCTGGGTGACAGAGCAAGACTCTGTCTCAAAAATAATAATAATAATAATACTTGGGGTGAGAAATGTTTCAGTAGGATGAACATGGTGGCTCACTCCTGTAATACTAGCACTTTGGGAGGCCAAGGCAGGAGGATCACCTGAGCCCAGGAGTTCAAGACCAGCCTGGGCAATATGATGAGACCCCATTTCTATTTTAAAAAATTAATTAAAATAAATAAAAAATAAATGTTTGAGATTTCAAGTCTTTTCAGATTTTAGAATATTTTTATTGTACTTACTGGTTGAACATCCCAAATCTAAAATCTGAAATACTCTAGTGAGCATTTATTTTGAGTTTCATGTCAGTATTCAAAAAGTTTTGGATTTTGGAGTATTTAAAATTTTGGATTTGGGGGTTTGGGCTGCTCAACCCTCAATAGCTAAATTTAGTGGAGCATTTACTATGTAGCAGGCACATTTCTAAAACCATTCCGACATTTATCAGTCATCTAATTTTCCTAATAACCCTTTAAAGTCATTATTATTATTACTATTAAAACGGAAAAGTTCTCTGACCCCTTGCAGAACTTGCTACAGCAGTGTGGCTTGTTTGCATGTTCAAACCCCTTATAGGAAGGGGAACATGCAGATGGGCAGGTGCAGGAGCCATGGCTAGTGCTTTTGGGCTCCGGCCCCCAGTAGGATCTACAGGTGTGTTAAAATTAATGCTCTTTTAGCAGTTGCCATTTACGGACAGCTAAGTATGAGCAGTTCAGTGGAGATTCAGGTGACACTCTTTTACACCCTGCCCTCTTGGTACCCAGGTCCTTGTCCAAAGTCCAGGAAGAATCAGGTCACATGGACTTGAAGCATGGTGAATGCAGGTATTTTATTGAGTGGTGGCAGTGGCTCTCAGGGGACTTGTTGGGGAACTGGAAAGGGGATGGAGTGAGAAGATGATCTTCCCCTGGAGTTTGGCCATCCTGGGCCAATCTCCTCTCCAACCATCCCCAGTTGAACTCCTCTTGACATTCAAACACTCCTTCTCTTCTCTCCTTCTCTGCCACGCCGCTCTGCTCTGCCAGTGGAGCTTGGGGTTTATATGGGCATGGAATAGGGGCACGGTGGGCCAGAGTGGTCTTGGAAAAGGCAACACTGGGGTGCAAAAACAGGAACGCCTGTTCCCATTTAGGGTTGTAGGTTTCCAGGCTTGAGAGTGGGGCCTTTGCCAGGGAACTGTTCTCTTCTACTCAGTATTTCCTTGCCTCCTGTTGATATTACTATTATTACCATTCACATTTTACAGATGAGAAAACTGAGGCATAGACAGGATAGTTAGCCTAAGATCACACAGTTAATAAGTAGTGAAGCCAAGACTTAAACCAAAACAATCTGATTTCAGAACCTGCATTTTTAAGCAGCATGTGATTCTGCTCCCACTCAAAGATGAAAAAAAAAATGCATATATATCACTATAAAAGTTGAGTCTTGTGACAAGGGCTCCCTTCCAAACTTGTTAAATAAAGAAGTTCTGCTTGACTTTCCTCTAACAGAGCATACCATGGCCAAGAAAGTTGCAGTGATTGGAGCTGGTGTGAGTGGCATCTCCTCCATCAAATGCTGTGTGGATGAGGACCTGGAGCCCACCTGCTTTGAGAGAAGTGATGACATTGGGGGATTATGGAAGTTTACAGTACGTGGTTCACATCCTCTTATCTCTATCAGTCATGATCTGGCCATTTGCTTTGTCTCTGCTCAGACATGGTGGCTTTAGCCTGTCTTGGTGATCAAGTAAGGGAGTGGCTTTCTACAACAGCACAAACATGTGTGTAATGCAGTGTTAAACACTAGGCAGGATGCAGTCTGATTGGTGAGGAATCTTGAGAGTGTGCAGACTTGGGTCAGGGACAGTTGGAAGAGAGAGAAAAAAAGAGTTAAGTCTGATAGATAAGCATAGTATTGGACATTTATGATGATTTCTGGACTGTAGACTTTCTAAGACAAAGCTGCAGAGTGTAACATCAGGCAAACTGAATAGCATTGGTGAACATAAAAAAGATTACACTCTAGGGAGAATGGAAGTTGGCAACAGGGAGTGGAACCACAACCCCCAGACATTGTTCAGGTCTTTAGGAACCGAACTGGCAAGAGTGAGGCAGGGCCCCAGACCTTGGAAGGCCTTGTGGGAGGGGGAGGGTTCGCTGTCACATTTTCAGAATAGAAAGAACTCAGGCACTAACCAATCATTCTTAGAAGTGGAATATTTAGGCTCGGAGGCTACACTTAGGTCCAGGCCACCTATTAGGTGACTTGAGCATCAGACAGTGGGGATGGAAGTGTTTAAATACCACCTGCCTCTGGTCAGGATTGGTGCTGGTTACTGGAAGTAGCAGAGTATCCAGTAGGGACTGAGGGATCTGCCCCAGTGGTGAAGTATAAGAAGGTATCAGAAGGTTTATGCCTGTAATCCCAGCACTTTGGGAGGCTGAGGTGGGAGGATCACTTGAGGCCAGGAGCTCAAGACCAGCATGGGCAGCATAGCGAGACCCTGTCTCTGCAAAAAATAGAATTAAAAACAAACAAACAAAAAATAAGATGGAAGCTAGGCAGGCCCAAGTACTAAATGCTATAGGGGAAAAGAATAGTGACATTCATTCAACAGGCATGAATGAGAGAAGCCTTCATAGAAGACATGTTGTTTGCTATTAATAGATCTCTGATGGATGATGAATAAAACAGAATAAGCAACTACATATAAGCAGGAGTAGTCATAACCCTAGGATTATAGTATACTAGGAGGAAAAAAACTTTGGTATATTGTTAACCTCATCAAGCCACCAAATGTTAATATGGAAGGAAAATATTGGGTCTGGTTTATGTAGCTTCTGCTATTTGGCCCCACAGTTGGTTTGGTTTACTTCTGCTATTCTAAAGTAATACAGATTAATTTTAGAAAACAATCTTGAGTTAAACAAATAGGGAAAAAAGGAAAAATATAAATTAAGTAACAATATTCGCAAATTAGTACTATTAAAATTTCAATGTAATTTCTCTCAGTCATAAATATACAGTTGTCTCTTGGTGTCCGTGGGGGTTTAGGTATCCCTTTGGTTTTGCCGTGGATACCAAAATTCACAAATGCTCAAGTTCCTGATAGAAAATGGCATAATAATATTTGCGGGTAGCCTACACACATCCTCCTGAGTATTTTAAATGTTCTCTAAGTTACTTATAATGCCTAATACAATATAAATGTTATATAAATAGCTGTGACACTGTAATGTTCATGGAATACTCACAAGGAAAGAAATATGTACATGTTCAATACATATGGAAGCGTCCTTTATTTTTTGCGAATATTTTCCATCCTTGGTTGATTGAATCCATGGATCTAGAACCTACAGATACAGAGGGCCAGTTGTACTATTTTTTTTTCAAAAGTATTATCATAATATTAATTTTCACTCATTCAACAAGTATTTATGTCCTTCTGCAAGGACACAATGATGAATAAGATAGACAGGGACCCTGTCCTCCTTGCAGTCTGGTGAGAAACAGAAACAGTAAATAGGGAATTACAACACAGTGTCTTCAGGTTCGTGGTAGAAGTACAGGATGCAGCAGGGCCACATCAGCTACCTTATGCAGCTCTGTTGGGTCATGGATGACTTCTTAGAGAAAGTGACAGCTAAGAAAGAGGCTTAAGGGAGAAACAGAGATTAGCTTCAGCCACAGGAAGTTCATTGGTGTCTTTAATATAGACCTATTTGTTTTGTTGTTTTGTTTGAGTGATGGAGATTGAATCAAGACAAGTTGAGGACTTCATGACAAAACAGAGGCTACAGTAAATGGTTCTTCTATGAAGATTGAGATAGGATGGAGAGAGACAGGGCTGAAGGGGACATAGGTTGAGAGGATGTTTTGTTTGTTTTTAAAATTAGAGTATTTTGTGCTGATGAGAAGGAGCCAATAGAGGGAGGTAGATTGGGAATATACGGAGACAATAATGAGAAAAATTAGTAAGGTATTCCCTGAGGAAAGCCAAAAAGGAAGATGCCCAGGGCATGAGTGGAGGGAGTAGCCATGCCAGTGGAAGAAGGAAAAGATAAACAAGACAGATAATGAGCCCTGCATTCATGGAATTGTTTAAGGACAATGTTAGTCTTGGAGAGCCCTATTTAATTTGGTTAGCTTCTTTGTGGTTTGAAAAATATATTGAATTTAATTATACAATCCCGCCAATGATTTCTGATAATTATAGCATAGACACCTAATGCTGGGTTTCCTGGAACTCTTTAAAGTTACAAATAGTGGCTCAGTACAGTGGCTCATGCCTGTAATCCAGGCATTTTAGGAGGCCAAGTTGGGTGGATCACTTGAGGCCAGGAGTTAGACACCAGCCTGGCCAACATGGTGAAATCTTGTCTCTACTAAAAATACAAAAATTAGACAGGCATGGTGGTGCACACATGTAATCCCAACTATTTGGGAGGCTGAGGCATGAGAATTGCTTGAACCCAGGAGGCGGAGGTTGCAGTGAGTCAAAGTCGCACCACTGCACTCCAGCCTGCGTGACAGAGTGAGACTCCATCTCAATCGATCAATCAATAAAAATAAATAAAATTACAAATGGGACATTAATTGCTATAACCCCCCTCTCAGTGAGGCTAGCATGATCCACCATGATCTCTGTTCTCTTGCTCCTATCTCCATTATCCCAACAAGCTAACTATGCCTTCACCACAGGAATCTTCCAAAGATGGGATGACCAGGGTCTATAAGTCATTAGTGACAAATGTCTGTAAGGAAATGTCATGTTACAGTGACTTCCCTTTCCACGAAGATTATCCTAATTTCATGAACCAGGAAAAATTTTGGGACTATCTCCAAGAATTTGCTGAGCACTTTGACCTCCTGAAATACATTCAGTTTAAGGTAAGATTCTTTGAGTTATGGAAGATGAATTTGATGGGGGCTGGCCTATTCAGCAATCTAATGAAAATTGGATGTTTAAAATAAACTTTTTATTGATTTTATCTCTAAATAAATAGGAAGAAAATAAGGACTCCTCTCTTCTGCTGCTGCTCAAGTTTTACTCAGATAAATCATTAAAATACTGAATTGGGGACGGGTGCAGTGGCTCACACCTGTAATCGTAACACTTTGGGAGGCCAAGGCAGGCAGATCGCTTGTTGTCAGGAGTTCGAGACCAGTCTGGCCAACATGGTGAAACTCCGTCTCTGCTAAAAGTACAAAAATTAGCTGGGTGTGGTGGTGTGCACCTGTGATCCCAGCTTCTCAGGAGGCTGAAGCATGAGAATTGCTTGAACCTGGGAGGCAGAGGTTGCAGTGAGCCAAGATCATGCCACTGCACTCTAGCCGGAGCCACAGAGTGAGACTCCGTCTCAAAAATGAAATAAAATAAAATAAAATACTGAATTTGCTGATTCATCCTCTAAATGCCAAACTCTCATTCAGGATGAAATTTTGACTTTTTTTAAGAGAAGAAAAGAATTTTGTTCACGAAGCCCATTGGGGAAAAAAAAAAAAATCTAGACATCTGAACCATAGAAATTATAATAAGGCAAAACTAATTTTCCTAAATTTCCCAAAGCACCAGGCATTGTAACTCATCTCTTTCTCACCAGGAATAAAACACGACTGTTTCTTCCTTCTACTGAAAGATTCAAATGTCTCAAGGCAAAGTCTATATTGCCACCTTTGTGAGTCTGCATAAGTTACTTAACTTCTCTAAGAAGATGATAAATCAATATTAATAGACCTCCTGTCATGGGACTTGGCCTACTGAAAGTAACAGACATAGTTACCACACCAGTCATTGCATGAGGTCCAGGGGTGTTGGTGACAAGTGTGTGTTTGTCTTTCACTTTTAGACCACTGTGTGTAGCATCACGAAGCGTCCAGACTTCTCCGAAACTGGTCAGTGGGATGTTGTCACAGAGACAGAGGGCAAGCAAAATAGAGCTGTCTTTGATGCTGTTATGGTGTGCACTGGACATTTCCTGAATCCCCATTTACCTTTGGAAGCCTTTCCTGGTGAGTCATTTCTACCTGAGACCATGCCTATGCGTCTGGGTTCTTCTAGAAGTAAACTTACTGATTTGCAGTTGAAAATACCTCCCCATGATTATAGATAGCTTTATATTCACTCTCAAAAATGATACGTGCAAAATTACTTTAAAAGGTGTATAAGGCACTATGTAGGTGGTGTCGGGTCTTATTTATTAATATAAATGTTGTTATTATTGTTTGAGCTTTCTAATGTGTGTCTAATTGAAATTCAGTGATCAAGTAAGGCTCAAAACAACCAGGTCTGTCATGAAAAACAAGAGGCTTTGATTTTAGGGATTAAATTACAGGTAATTTGAATCAGGACTGGCCTGTAATAGAACATACAGGAAATGAGAGTATTTTTTTTTTTTGAAGAAACAAACCAGAAATTAAACATGTAAAGCAATATATTCAACCTTCTCTAGAGTTGGAGGTTCTTGGACAAATAAAAATTTAAAAAGGAAAAAAAAGCAATATATTCACCCTTCAAAACAGTCAACACAATAATCGTACAATTCTTCGGCCGGGCATAGTGGTTCATGCCTGTAATCCCAGCACTTTGGGAGGCCGAGGCAGGGAGATCACTTGAGGCCAGGAGTTGGAGACCAGCCTAGGCATCATGCTGAAACCCTGTCTTTACTAAAAATACAAAAATTATCTGGGCATGGTGGCTCACACCAGTAATCCCAGCTACTCAGGAGGCTGAGGCACGAAAATTGCTTGAACCTGGAGGGGTGGCGGTTGCAGTGAGCAAAGATCATGCCACTGCACTTCAGCCTGGGCCACAGAGTGAGACTCTGTCTCAAAAGTAAATGAACAAATAAATAAATAATCATACAACTCTTAAACCAGGGCTATCCACAAAAAGGAGTTTTAGAACCTTCCATTTGGAAATGCTTTTCACTGTGACAGCATATTCTTTTTAATAGACTCATGACTGTCAAATTGCCATCATTTGAGGTCAAAACCGATTATTTGAAAAGTCAAAAGCTATTCAAATTCAGTTGAGGGAAATAAAATTAATCAATTGAGGATTACTAAAATGTAATAAAGCTACTCTTTGTTACATATTAGTGGCCCTAACGGTAATTGAATAGGTGAGTTTTTTTGTTGGTTTTGTTTTTTGTTTTTTGTTTTTTGTTTTTTTGAGACAGAGTCTCGCTCTGTCGCCCAGGCTGCAGTGCAGTGGCCGGATCTCAGCTCACTGCAAGCTCCGCCTCCCGGGTTCACGCCATTCTCCTGCCTCAGCCTCCCGAGTAACTGGGACTACAGGCGCCCGCCACTTCGCCCGGCTAGTTTTTTGTATTTTTTAGTAGAGACGGGGTTTCACCGTGTTAGCCAGGATGGTCTGGATCTCCTGACCTCGTGATCCACCCGTCTCAGCCTCCCAAATAGGTGAGTTTTTGAAATTTCTTCAAGGAATTAAAAGAACTTTTAAGGAAGGAAAACTGTGAAGAATAAAATACACAAACATTGGCAAAATGAAAGAAAATACATCTTATAAGTGTAATCACAAATTGACAGAATATCCTATTCAAAAAGGAATCAAGTGAAAATTCAATACACTATTTTGCAAGGAAACACTATTATAAATGGTGGTTGGTTCAGGCTTGCTGCTGATCTGGGGACTAACCACACAACTGTACAGTACTAAAGGAATATAAAAACACCTCTTACAACATTCTCTATGGGAAAATGTGCTGTAAGTGCCAAACTATTGACATGGACACTTTCGGAATTTATTCTTTTCAAGTTTGGGATTGTTTACTCTTTATTCCACACTAAATTCAGTTCCACATAGACTATATACATATATAATTTTTTTTTTTTTTTTTTTTTTTTGAGATAGAGTCTCATCTCGGCTCATGCAGCCTCAACCTCCTGGGCTGAAGCAATCTTCCTGCCTCAGCTTCCAGAATAGTTGGGACTATAGGCGTATGCCACCACACCTGGCTCATTTTTGTAATTTTTGCAGAGACGGGGTCTTTCCATGTTGCCGGGGCTGGTTTCAAACTCCTAGACTCAAGGGATCCACCTGCTTTGGCCTTCCAAATACTGAGATTACAGGACTATAACTTTTTAAGATTCTGTTTCTGCTTTTAACTAACCACCACAGTCTCTTTCACAAATAGCTTTAAGACCCCCGTTGAAATGAATGTTTTCCTTGGGGACATTAACTCTTCTCTGCATAGAAAGTATCAGGACTATTTCTATGCTATTGAAAAAAATCCATAGAAATCGCAAGCTTTGTCTATAACATGTTACCACAACTGTTTGAAAGTTGACATTGCAACACATGCATACCCTTTTTAAAAATCTATATTGTCAACCTAATGGAAGAAGCTGAGGCACATGTGATTTCGAAGAGTTTACTTGAGTCAAAATAAAATTTTAAAGAGTTTCCTTGAGGATAGCTGCTTGGGAAACATTTCCAAGTTGCCTTGGGAAGTGCTCTGTTCAGCCTTTGTTACAAGCAGGTTTCTAAAGGGAACAGGGAACAAGTAGTGCGCAGATACAAAGTTGTTTGACAGGAATTCTCATCAATTTACAGAAATAGCATTGATTAGTCATTGGCTGTACATTTTTGAACTATAGGCTACGAGTTATGACATCCAGCGTATAGCATTATCAGGTTAATTTATGGCTACTTAATGTCAGTACGTCCAGAGCCCAAAGAGCAAGTGTCTTCTAGAGGTGATTACTTAACTCAAGATGGGGAGTGACATGTGATTGCTGTCAAATTTCAATGGCTCTCTGGCCTGATAACTTTAAGGGGACTTGCATTCCTCAGATAAAGTTTCTTTTATTTCCAATATAAACTGACTTTTGCTGTTTTCCTGAATTAGTAGTTTTAATTTATCAAATATATTTCTTTTTCATTTTTTGGCACTGCATTGACATAATCATTGACTCAGAACTACCTACACATTCTCTATTTTTTCTTCTTCAGTATGTAATTACAGAGAATCTGTCATTTGCAAGTCGTTGTGTTAGGCAATATGAAAGATATAAAATCCATGAGCAAAGTTGAGCCCTCCAGTAAATTCCCTCCAGCAAAACCTCATAAGTGGCTGAATGTCCCGCTCTCCAATGCATTTGATGCATATTCTGTTCCCACTTCTTGGAAAATTCTTCATGCTGCCTTTTTCCAATTTCTAATCATTCTTTAACAAATTCTTACTTTAAGAAAATCTCCTTCAAATGCCTTCACTGGCTCAGTCCAGGCTGGATGTCCCACTGGAGCCATCATAATGCCTTCTCTTCTGGAGGGGAGTATAGCATCATGCCTGACAGCTGAGATCCAGAGTCAGACATCTTGAGTTCCCATACGGGCTTTGCTATTTACCATATGGTCTCGGGCAAGATGCTCAACCTCCCTGTTTTGTTCGGTTGGTTGGTTGGTTTTTGGTTTTTGTTTTTTTGCACTGCAATCTCAGCAGTGCAAAACAAAAACAAACAGGGAGGTTAAGCCATTTGCCCAGGGATTTTTTTTTGTCTCAATCTCAGCTTTGACAAAATGGAATAATACTATGGTCCACTCTATGGGGTTGCTGTGAGGTTTAAATTTGTTAGTATAGACCAGGTGTGGTGGCTCATGCCTGTAATCCTAGCACTTTGGGAGGCCGAGGCAGGCAGATCTTTTAAATTCAAGAGTTCGAGACCAGCCTGGGCAATATGGTGAAAGCCTGTCTCTACTAAAAATACAAAAAATTAGCCAGGCGTGGTGGCGTGCACATGTAGTCCCAGCTACTCTCAGGGCTGAGGCGAGAGGATCACTTGAGCCTGGGAGGCAATTACAGTGAGCTCTGATGGTGCTACTGCACTCCGGCCTGTGTAACAGAACTAAATTCCTTCTCAGTAAAAAAATAAGTAAATCTGTTAATACGTATAAAGTTCTCAGAAGCCTGGAACTAGCATAGCAACGGCTAAATAATTGTTAGCTATTTTCTGTTTACTTACCAATATCCCCATTAGAAGACAAAGTCTTTATTTATTTATTTTTATTTATGTATTTATTTATTTTGAGACAGAGTTTTGCTCTTGTTGCCCAGACTGGAGTTCGAAGGCGTGATCTCAGCTCACTGCAACCTCTGCCTCCCAAATTCAAGCGATTCTCCTGCCTCAGCCTCCCAAGTAGCTGGGATTACAGGTGCCTGCCACCACACCCAGATAATTTTTTTTTGTATTTTTAGTAGAGATGAGGTTTCATCATGTTGGCCAAGCTCGTCTCGAACTCCTGACGGAAGGCAATCCACCCACCGCGACCTCCCAAAGTGCTGAGATTACAGGCATGAGCCACCTCACCCAGCCCAGAGGACAAATTCTTTGAGGGTATGGTGGGGCGCGGTGGCTCACACCTATAATCTCAGCACTTTGGGAGGCTGAAGTGGGCAGATCAATTGAGGCCAGGAGTTTGAGACCAGCCTGGACAACATGGTGAAATACTGTCTCTACTAAAAATATAAAAATTATCTGGGCATGGTGGCAAGCACCTGTAATCCCAGTTACTCAGGAGGCCGAGGCAGGAGAATCACTTGAACCTGGGAGGCAGAGTTTGCAGTGAGCCAAGATCACACCATTGCACTCCAGCCTGGGTGATAGACCAAAACCCTGTCTAAAAAAAAAAAAAAAAAAAAAAGTTCTTTGAGGGTAGGAACTGCCTTTTGCCCTCACATCCCTTAGACCTAGCATAGCACCTTAGGTGTTGAAAGTGTTGAAAGAACAGGCTATATAAGGTATGACTATTAGCCAACTTTTTCCTTTAATATCCCTGCAGACCTGATCTGTGGGGCTTGTCCTTCCCTTGCCCCTGGATGAAATCTTAGGCAGTTTTCTGCTTATTCTCAGATAATGAAATGTCCTCTGATCATTCATTATAAGTCACCAAAACATACATATATATATATGTGTGTGTGTGTGTGTGTGTGTGTGTGTGTGTGTACATATATCATTTTCATAACTAAAATGTCCTGTTCATGCAATAGTCAAAATTTGCAACTGCATGTAATGTAAAAGCTTCTCCCCTCCACCATCTGGCACCTGCTATGAGCTGACAGCAATGTCAAGAAGAGACGGTGTGCTTGACTTCTTTCTTCCTCTGCCATCCTCTTCCCTGACAGAAATTTACAGGAATGGTGACAGAAAATGCCACAATTCCTGTAAATTTCCAACTCCTAGCCACTTCAACCTCAACCATTTTAGACCCTCAAAGTGAGCATGAGGCTAAGTAGGGATCACAAAACTAGCCTCACACACACAGTTTCTGCAAATTCAGCATAGTTGGTTTAGCACCTCACTTGGAATGCAGGAACTATTGTTTAGTACCCAGCTTTGGGGGCCTCAGTAGGCAAAAAATCCTATTGAAACATTTTGTTATACAATCTACTTCTTGCCCAGGATGTTCAGCGTAGTATACAAGATGTTTCTTATTATTTGTGAGTTTGAGTTACTGAAGCAAGTGCTTTAAAAAAGAACACTCACATGGAATATAAGATTTCCTATGTTTTTAACAAGGCAGGTTGTAGTTACTCGTTAAATGTTACCAAGTAAATGAATGAATCAACGACTGAATAGGAGGAGAATGATATATTCCAGAAGATAGTTTAATATTTGTACATTGATACTTCAAAGGCACTTGAAGCCTTAGAGAGGCAGTCTAGTCCTCAAAACTGCTGGACTTTGCTTTCGTATCCTTTGTCAATGCTTCATCTCATCTGTGATTCTGACCATCACTGGCCTCATCACAATTGTTTCCTCTGTCACCTCCCACAATTTCCACTGTTGCTGCTGCTGCTGTAAACACCCTTGCTTCCGCTATTCCTACCATTCTTAGTTTATGTGAATCTATGGTTCATATCTAAATTACCCAAGACTGGGTAATTTATAAAGGAAAGAAGTTTAATTGACTCACAGTTCCACATGGCTCAGGAGGCCTCACAATCCTGGCAGAAGTGAAGGAAGAGCAAAGTCACACCTTACATAGTGGCAAGCAAGAGAAAGAGCATGTCCAGGGGAACTCCCCTTCCTAAAACTATCATATCTCATGAGACTTATTCACTATCAGGAGAACAGCATGGGAAAAACCTGCCCCCATGATTCAATTACCTCCCACTGGGTCCCTCCCAGGACATATGGGGATTATGGGAGCTACAATTCAAGATTTGGGTGGGGACACAACTGAACTACATCAGTTTTTTATGTCTGCCAAAGAGATAATCACCAAAAATGAATCAAAAGAAGAAATATTTGTAGTCTTCCTTACATATGTAAATATCATTATAGCTGGTTGTGCTTCTATGGACAGAGTATTAGGTGCTCCATGAAAGATCAGTCAGAAACAAGTATAAATAACATAAGAATAAAACACAAATAAGCATACTGCATGATAACACATCAATGATAAAGCATAAAGTAAAATAAGCATGAAGTATAAGTAACATGAACTTAAATCACAAGAGTAATTACTTCATTTACAAAAGAGCTTACCACAGAATCTACCCTGTGGAGAATTTTAATTGAATCAAAATTTAATATGTAAACATATTATATACACAAGTCACATTCTGATAGAATGTATTTATTGGGCAAAGTAACATTCATCAACAACCTACTGTTTTTGTTTGTTTGTTCAAGATCTTTATTCAGTATCCAAAAGAAGATGTCAAGTAGGTATTTAGATACAAGTGTAGTGGTCCTGGGAGAAGCCACAGTTGGATATAATACTTATTGTAGATGAACTAGAAACAATCTACTTTTTGCCCAGGATGTTCAGCATAGTATATAAGATGTTTCTTATTATCTGTGAGTTTGATTTCCTGAAACAACTGCTTTAAAAGGGCACACTCATATGGAATTCAAGATCTCCTATGTTTATAACAAGGCAGTTTGTACTAAATCCACATCTGGACTCACAGTGTCCCAGGGGAGAGGGAGGTTATATGCTTTTTCTACTTCCTGCCACTAGCAGCATAAGCAAAGGGCTGCCATAGTTGTGGGACTTAGCTTTTTCCACAGACCCTATCCCTGCATAGTGAGAAATTATAGCTTTAGATATTTCAGACTTTCTGATCTTTCACTCGTCTCAGGAATTCACAAGTTTAAAGGTCAGATCCTGCATAGTCAAGAGTACAAGATCCCAGAAGGCTTTCAGGGCAAGCGCATCTTGGTGATCGGTCTTGGGAACACTGGAGGAGACATTGCTGTGGAACTCAGTCGAACAGCAGCTCAGGTATATCATCTCTGAATTAATGCCCCTAATCCCATCATCAGTGATGGTGGCTAGAAAGAGGTATTCAAAACTATGAAGTACATTGGCCAATTGCTAAATTATGCAGACATAGAGTAAGTGGAAAAAAAAAAAAAACACTGAAAATCTTTAAAGTCACCCACAGTCCTTTCTGAACTATTTAAAAAGCTATGCTTTACAGAGCTGAACCATCTCCAAGAAGGGTCTAGGAGAATTGTGTGGATGCCAGACCTCTAAGCATTTTTCAGAAGTGCTTCTTCAGAAACAAGACCATATAGGCAAATTACTTCACCCAGGTCAATTATCTTCTTTTTTACACTGTCCCTTTGTCATTCTGGCAAAATACCTATGTAAGAATAGAAAGGTCATTTTCTTGAATGTTTCTAAGTTCTCTACTAAAAGTCGTATTTGTACCTTGTTTCGAGATAAAAGCAACTCTTGCAAAACAAATATACATAATGATTTTAGAAAGTCTAAGACCAGATTCACAAATTAGAAATATATTGCACTTTAGCATAAATTAAAGGACAATGATTAGACCTGGAAAGACTAGATTTTGATTTAAAAATAAGTTAAAATTGCTTTTCCATACCTTCACTTTAAATTCTATTTTGCTTACATGTAAAAAAATTGCCAGAACAATTCCATGTATCTACAAATATTATACTTCTACATTTATAATTCTATAAACATAGCAAAATATTTAAGAGATATACAGATCTAGTAAAGTGATTTTGAGAACAATGACAGCAATAGGAACAGATAATCATATGTAGACCTATGTACAAATTCACCAATCCTCTATTGTTATAAGACCAAACTGGAATAAGATCATCTGAAACACACTGATGAAAAAGACTACAAAATGATGAACACTTATTTTTCCTTCTTGCCTTACTTTTTAGGTACTTCTCAGTACTAGAACTGGTACCTGGGTTCTCGGGCGCTCTGCAGATTGGGGCTATCCTTTTAATATGATGGTTATAAGAAGATACTATAGTTTTATTGCACAAGTTCTGCCTTCACGTTTTCTAAATTGGATTCAAGAGAGGAAGTTGAATAAGAGATTTAATCATGAGGATTACGGATTAAGTATTACCAAAGGGTACTTACATTTTTTATTTAGTAGAAAAATTATTAAATCAATATTTCTCATTATATTTTATTCAGAATGCAAAATGTTCAATAATTGTAATATTGCCTTTGTTTATTCTACTCTAAATCTATTTCCCTAAGACATTATCCAACAGGTACCACAGCAGTTCTTAAAATATGTGTATTCTCTCTCTGGTAGCAGAAGTAGTGATTCATGAGGCTGGAAGGAAATAAAAGATGAAAACTTTCATTTCCCGCTGTTACAAGTATCACATATTTTTGTCGTTGTTATTGTTGTTGGGGGTTTCTTGTGTTGTTGTTGTTGTTGTTGTTGTTGTTGTTGAGACAGGGTTTTACTCCCGTCACCCAGCCTGGAGTTCAATGGTCCGATTTCTATTCACTGCAATCTCTGCCTCCTAGGCTCAAGCTATTCTTCTGCCTTAGCCTCCCAAATAGCTAGGACTACAGGCACAGGCCACCTCGCCCAGCTAATTTTTGTATTTTTAGTAGAAACGGGGTTTTGCTTTGTTGGCCAGGTTGGTTTTGAACTCCTGGTCTCAAGTGATCTACCTGCTTCAGTCTCCCAAAGTGCTGGGATTCTAGCCACCCCGCTCAGCCAAAATGATATATTTTAATATACATCTGGATAGAGTTGCACATTGGCAAGTAAAAGAAAGCCTTTGAAAAGCATGTAAAGTCATTAAATATGATTTTTATTATACACTTGACCGAAATATTTTTCTTTGGTAAGACACCTTTTTTTTGTTTTTTGTTTTCTTTTTTGTCTGTGTTTTTACCCTTGAAATGTCTTTCAACTTATGAGGAAAACTACTGGCAAAGGATGATTTGATATGTACATTTTATAAAGACATTATGTTTGATGTGATTAGGTAGAATGATGGTCACACTGAAAATATTTATCAGTATAATTTTTTTCTAGTGAAGTCTCACTCTATTGCCCAAGCTGGAGTGCAGTGGTGTGATCTTGGCTCACTGCAACCTCTGCCCTCCCCAGGTTCAAGTGATTCTCCTCCCTCAGCCTCCCAAATACCTGGGACTACAGGTGCAGGACACCATGCCCAGCTAAATTTTGTATTAAATTTTTATTTAAAGAGTTCCTTAATTTCCTCTCTGACTAATGTCATTCCTTAGAGACCTAAGTAATGTGAGACCCAAAATTGATCATCAAATGGATTGTTGTACACTGTATGCTGACACTCTGAGAAAAGCATTGCTCCAGAAATTAGTTCTAAGAGATAGAGAGTTTTAAACCCCAAGCAAGAAAGAGTAGGTTTAGTCATTTTCCACATGCCTTCTACTGAGAGCAGAAACACAAACCATGTTATAAATATACTAAGTCAAGTAGATGACTTTGAATTAGACATTGGTTAATTATCTTCCTTAGCTTGGCAGGAAATTTCCCTGAATTGACTAAATAAGTCATTTGCTGAAGTTTCTCATAAAAATAACTACAGTGAATAATTTTCTCCTGTGTGTCAAAGGAAAACAGCAAAATTCATCGTGAATGATGAGCTGCCAAACTGTATCCTCTGTGGGACAATCACTGTGAAAACCAGCGTGATGGAATTTACAGAAACCTCTGCTGTCTTTGAAGATGGGACAGTGGAAGAAAACATTGATGTTGTGATCTTCACTACAGGATATACGTTTTCTTTTCCTTTTTTTGAAGAACCTCTTAAAAGCCTCTGTACAAAGAAGATATTTCTATACAAGAACGTCTTTCCCTTAAACCTGGAGAGAGCAACATTAGCCATCATCGGCCTTCTCAGCCTTAAAGGATCCATCTTATCAGCCACAGAGCTCCAAGCACGATGGGCCACAAGAGTATTCAAAGGTACCGTGACTCTACTGAAAGCCCTCTCTTTGGATCTTAAAATTGGTGCCCTGCCATTTAGCTAAAATCAAACAGATGTGAACTAAAGTAACAAAATATTTTTTAAATTAATGTACAATTAATTGTATATGTTTGTAATATGATGGGTGTGCTGTGTCACTTAATGGGAAAAGAGATTTTGGCTCTGTGGGTGAGATAAATTTGGACAACAGAATATAATCAAATTTCTCAGATCAGCTGAAATTATTGAAGGCTTCATGATCCTATTCTAGCCTTGTCTAATCTATTTACTCCTAAATCTTTTCATTTGGTACTAGAAGTATAATTTTACATTGCTTCCAAAGAAAGATATTGGAATAGTATACACTATGAATGAAGTTGAGATTAGAGGCCCATAAAAAAATATTTTAGACACTGGAAATTACTTTCTGTCAATTATGCGATAAGTCAGAGCTATCGCATAGATGCTGGAGTCAGAGCTACCGAGGTCGAATCCCAACTTTGAAATTCTTTAGCTTTGCAAGAACTCTTCTAAATCTCAGCCCCTTCATCTGTAAAATGGGGATAGTAAATCCTCTATCACAAGAATTTTGTAAAATGGATAATGTCTGCAAAGCAATTAGCACTGTACTTGACATATAACTAATGCTTATTAAGTGACAGGGTTTCTCTGACCATTGCTATTGGTATCATACCTCTCTGAAGTAGGGCAAATTTTAGATTAGCAAGCATTTTAGTTTTAAAGAACTGCAGTTTTCTTATTTTCAAATATAAACAGCCATAGCAATTGGGCCAATCAGCTCTGCTGTAGAAGAATTCTGTTCTTAATGAATAAAAACAATCACCAATAATTTATAAATAGCATACAACATGGTATGCTAATATAACATGGTATTAAGTAGTGTTGACTTATATCAAATATTATATTCTAGAAATATAATAGATATCCGTCACACTCAAAACCGTACATTCTCCTAAGTTGGCAAAAAAAAAGGAAATGTTATTTGAATGGGGGGAGGGGAAAGAAGGCAGTTAAAAAATCTCATTTTATTTACATGACAGAAAAAAATTCTACAACCCTCCAGTAAATTACCACAAATTTCTGTTTTTTAAGGCCAATTAAAGTGTTTTCACAGCATTATCTAATTACATTAAAACCACAGAAGACTTCATTAACTATCTGGTTTTTAAAAGTATTTTATGGTGAGCTCCAAAATGGTTATTAGAATGATAAAGCTGACAAAAGAAAACTCGTTTAGCTCACACCATAGGAGTAATGGCATACTTCTCCCGAGAACTTCCAAAAAGCAATCTAGGAACAACCAATTAAATCTTGCTAGTGTTTTAGAGGATAAGATGACCCTAGTGGAAAGCAGTCCACAGAGCTTAGTTGGACCTATCTCATTGGAAAGTAAACCTACACCCTGGGCCAGCACTTGGCACCTGACAAGGGCAGGACTGGCTAGAATGAGATGGCAAACAGGGTAGACTAACGAGGGTCACAAGTGGCGTGAGGTGGATGGGGACAGTGAAGGGGCAGGGGGTGGGGACAGAGTTTACATAATAAGAGGGAGTATGGATGTTCTAGGAACCCAGAAGACAAACTGAGATTTTAGTCTCTAGGGAAGCTGGACAACTGCAGAGAATTATCAGGGTGCAAGCTGTTAAGGAAGAATAAGGTTTAGAATTCAGAAAAACAAGAAGAGCAGAGTCCAAGTGCTAAGACTGCCTAGACGGGAGATTGGGAATGAGCAGGTCCTCACAACAAAAGCAGACAGAGCCTGGGTGAGACTGACTGAGAAACTGCCAGGCCCCTTCCACACTTGGGGCTCCTTGTGTAACAAAAATAAAAATGTTCTAAGACAGGGTTACAAAGTGAGTTGTTTTTTAGAGACCAGTCCTCACTGTATTGCCCAGGCTGGAGTGCAGTGGCGTGATCATGGCTCACTACAGCCTCCATCTCCTGGGCTCAAGGGATTCTCCCACCTCAGCCTCCTGAGTAGCTGGAACTATAAGCCCATGCCACCACACCTGGCTAAATTTTTATTTTTTGTAGAAAGAGTGTCTTGCTATGTTTCCAGGCTGGTCTTGAACTCTTGGACTCAAGCAGTCCTCCTACCTTGGTCTCCCAAAATGCTGGGATTACAAGCATGAGCCACTGTGACCAGCCTAAAATGGGGTCATTTTAAGCGTTTACATCTTACCAACTAATAGCTTTAACATAAACACGCCACACACACACACACACACACACACACACGTACAATGTGGAGGGTATACATACAATATAATATAAATTATATTATTTATACAGTGAAAGCAGATGAAGAGAGACAGGGCAAATGGCACAGGTGCAGGTGTCCGGTGAGTGTGGCTCAGGCTGACAGTTGGGTCACAGAAGCATCTTTCTTCACAATTCTGGCAGTGGAGTACCCTGGTTAAGTGAGCTGGGAGGGGAATTTTACCTCCAAAAAATTATTTTCTGTGCTGCAATTCCATTCTGAGCTTTGACTATCATGTGTTCTGAAGTTAGAGCAGTGGGAGGCTAGAAATGAGTGGGAGGAGAAGCTCAATAAAGGAAAAGCCACATGTGACTTCAGTGTTGTTTGTGATTGTTCCCACAGGACTCTGTAAGATACCTCCATCCCAAAAATTGATGATGGAGGCTACTGAAAAGGAACAGCTCATTAAAAGGTATGAAATGTAGCTTGCTCCAGGGAAAACTTATAGTGTATTCTGTTACAAAAAAAGTATTCAGAGTATAGAAGCCATTCCTAGAGCAGTATGGCAGGTTGGAAATAACTCCGCCTTAGGAATCAGAAGGATACGTTTTTAGTCCTAACTCTGCCACCAATCAGACATGTGGCCTTAGACAAGTCAGCTGGGGACACCAGGTCTTTTCAGCGGAACACACAGCCTGGCCCCCTAGCGGTGGCAATCCTGTCTTCACTTAGCCCAGGAAATCTATTCTGTCTTCACTTTCTTCCTACCTCTCAGGCTGCTCTTTCTCTGTATTTGCTGGTATCGCCTCTTCCTCACTCCTAAAATTTAGTGAGCTCCAAACTTAGTCCTCAGGCGTCTTCTCATTCCTATTTACACCCACTCCCAGGTGGCCTCATCCAGGCCCGAGGCTTTAAATACTGTCATATACTCAGGGCTCCCAAACTGTGTCTCTAATTCAAATCTTTCTCCAGAACTCCAGACTCCTAATCCCACTCCCTCTAGATAGCTCCACTTAGATATTTAACACGTGTCTCAAATTTAATATGTCTAACAATGAACTCTTGACCCCTCCACCCCCATCTGTAAATGGACTGATCGGAAACTTTTCCCCATCCCAGTTCATAGCTACTCATTCCAGTTGGTCAAAACCAAGTTCAGTCAAAAACCTTGGAATAATCCTTTTCTCTTCTTTTTTTCTCACACCCCATATCAGCAAATATTGTCAACTCCTACCTGCCAAATAAATCCAGAATTCGGACACTTCTCACTACCTCTACTGCTACCACCCCAGACCAGACCACCAACATCTCTCATCAGGACACTTACTGCCACCTCTTACCTGGTCTCCCTCCTTCCACTCTGTTCTACAATCTAGGCTTGTCACAGCATCAAGAATGAGCCGCGTCACATTGCCCTTCTACTCAAAAGCCTCCGGTTGCTTCCTTTTCACTCCCAACAGCCTCCCTGCAGCCTCTGAGGCCCACAGCACACCCAAATATTGATATGCCCTCACTGCCTACTGCTCTCCATTTCATCCGTGCTGCTTCAGGTGTCCCAACCTCCTACCTGTTCTTCAAACATACCAAGCATAACCCCCTCAGAACCTTTACGCTCACTCTTCTGTCGGCCTGGAATGTTCCACCAGACACCCAAAAGGCTCACTCTGTTCAAATGTCACCTCATAAGAGAGAGGCCTTCTCTGACAACACTATATGTGACAGCAACCCACCCTGTCTCACCATTGCCTTTCCCCTTACCCTCCTTTCTATTTCTCAGAATGCCCGTTATTACCACCTGATATATTACATATCTACTTAGTTGGGGTTTTTTAATAATTTGCTCATTTCCCCCATTAGAATGCAGGCTTTTTGACAGCAAAGACTTTGTTTTGTTCACTGTTGGATCTCCAGCACCTACAATGGTGCCTGGAAGGTGATAGACACTTAACGTTCATTTATTTATTTATTCACTGAATGAGTGAATGATTGACACTGGGACATCGTGAAAGTTTACTGACAGAAATAAGTAAACTTCCTGAAAAGTAAAACATCATGGAAGTTTACTGACAGGAATAAGTAAATAAGTAAGTTTACTGACAGAAATAGGTATGAATAATGCCTTCATGTTAATATATAATATGCTCATGTCTGTGGAAAGTTCAGTCCTTGTATACCAAGTATGGCCCTCTCAACTCACAATTCACACCAACAAAAAATTTAGGTACATATGATGCTTTCTGGTCATATTCATTCATTCAACAGCTATTCTGTTTGGACTGATCAGACATTGTCCTCACATCAAATCCAAGAACTGAAAAATTATTTAAAACGTCTCTTCCAATTGCCTCCTTTTATCATCTCTAGTAAAATAAATTAGCTTCACAGATACCCTCTGTAGATAAACTCCTTTAATTTCTTTCTTCCTAACCTACAAAAACATTCCCAAACATGGTTTGATTTCCCCCAAAAAATGTAACAAAATGATGGGAGGAGGGGTGGGTCTGATAACTTGAGAAATGCAGGGCAGGAGTGATTAATGAAAGGTCCTCCATCTTTTTTCCTCTCAGGGGTGTGATTAAAGACACCAACAAAGACAAATTGGACTACATTGCCTACATGGATGATATCGCTGCCTGCATAGGCACAAAGCCCAGCATCCCACTTCTGTTCCTCAAGGATCCCAGACTAGCTTGGGAGGTTTTCTTTGGACCATGTACTCCTTACCAGTACCGCCTTGTGGGCCCTGGAAAATGGGATGGAGCCAGAAAAGCCATCCTGACCCAGTGGGACAGAACATTGAAACCTTTAAAAACTCGAATTGTCCCTGATTCCTCCAAGCCTGCCTCCATGTCACATTATTTAAAAGCCTGGGGGGCACCTGTCCTACTTGCCTCTCTTCTACTTATCTGTAAATCTTCACTTTTCTTGAAGTTGGTGAGAGATAAACTACAGGACAGAATGTCCCCTTACCTAGTAAGTCTTTGGCGAGGATGAACCTGATTGTTACCAGGGTTGCACCAAGTCATGCTAATTCTATCTCCAAGTATCTTGTGCATTCCTCCTCTGCTCTCCATCATAACTGCTATAAGCCAAATTCAGGCCCAGTCATCTCTTATCTGAATTATTGTATTGTCTTCTTTGTTTTCAGTACCCTCTTTCTTGCCACCCTTTCCAATGCATTTTCTACCCTGCTACCTCAGTGATTATTCTAAAATAAACATCTATGATATGATTTAGCTGTGTCCCCACCCAAATCTCATCTTGAATTGTAGCTCCCATAATTCCCACATGCCGTAGGAGGGAGGTAATTGAATCATGGGGGCAGGTCATCCCCCATACTCTTCTCATGGTAGCAAATAAGTCTCATAATATCTGATGGTTTCATAAATGAGAGTTCCCCTGCACAAGCTCTCTCCTGTCTGCCACCATGTAAGATGTGTCTTTGCTCCTTCTTCACCTTCCACCATGATTGTGAGGCCTCCCCAGCCATGTGGAACTGTGAGTCTGTTAAAACTCCCTTCCTTTATAAATTACCCTGTCTTGGGTATGTCTTTATTTAGCAATAGAACAGACTAATACAATATGGTTTATTACTCTAAAGTAAATATATGGTTTATAAATATGCAGGAACCTCTGATTCCCATGAAGGTCTCAGTAGAAACAAAATGGCACTAAAATTAAGTTGAGAAAATTTTTTTCTCTTAGAGACAGAGTCTCACTCCATCACCCAAACTGGAACATAGTGATGCAATCATAGATCACTGCAGCCTCGAACTCCTGGGTTCAAGCTATCCTCCCACCTCAGCCTTCTGAGTAGCTGGGACCATGCCTGGCTAATTTTTTTAAAGGTTTTTGTAGAGACAGTGTGTTACTATTTTTTTCTCTTTCTTTCTTTCTCTCTCTCTCTCTCTCTCTCTCTCTTTCTTTCTTTCTTTCTTTTCTTTCTTTCTTTCTTTAAGAAAAATAGGGCCAGGATTTTGCTGTGTTGCCCAGGCTGGTTTCAAGCTCCTGAGCTCAAACAATCATTCTGCCTCAGCCTTCCAAGGTTTCAAGCTCCTGAGCTCAAACAATCATTCTGCCTCAGCCTTCCAAAGTGCTGGGATTACAGGCATGAGCTATCATGTCCAGCCTCACTACTTTTTCAGATCTGAGATCTTGAACTCTTGGGTTCAAAAAACCCTCCCTCCTCCACCTCCCAAGTTGCTGGGATTACAGACATATGCCACCGTGCCTACCTGGAAATTTTAATACAGAGATTATTTTAAAAGATATGGGCAGAGTATAGGAAGATCATAGAGAAAATGAAACACTCCCAGACTTATAACAATCGAGTACCTTTACTATCCATAGACCTAATGAGGCAAGAGAAGAAAGCAACTACTAAAAAGAAAAAGCAAGCACTATGTGGAGGGCCACCTAACAAGAGCAATGACCTTCAGCTGAATGACAAAGGCAGGTGCACAATGACTACAAAAGTAGAGATCTGGGGGAATAAAGTATCTAATCTTACTCTCTTTCCACTCTCTGATCCCTTGCTAGTGCTCCCCAATGGCCAAACCCAAATGAAAGTCAGAAGGCAAGATTGCCAGCAGATTTTATCCACAGATGTCAGGCTCCTAGGGCACAGAGCAGAGTAAAGATGATGGAGAGTATATATGGTGAGGCACACAAAAGGGATCCAGTTTAATCTTGTCACCCTCCCATATAAAATCCTTCATTTTCTATCTTGATTAGAGATAATAGTCCTTGGCTGACACCTGTAATCCCAACACTTTGGGAAGCTGAGGCGGGCAGATCACTTGAAGTCAGGAGTTCAAGACCAGCCTGGCCAACTGGTGAAACCTCGTCTCTACTGAAAATACAAAAATCAACTGGGCGTGGTGGTGTGCAACTGTAATCTCAGCTACTCAGGAAGCTGAGGCAGGAGAATCACTTGAATCCAGGAGACAGAGGTTGCAGTGAGCTGAGATCACGCCACTGCACTCCAGCCTGGATGACAGAACAAGACTCTGTCTCAAAAAAAAAAAAAAAAAGAAGACATAATAGTCCAAATTCCTTAGCCTAACATAGAAGGCCCTTCATGATCTGAGTCCCTTTTCCCGGGTCAGCTGAATGCCTTTATTTCAAACCCTCCCATCCAGCACTACAAAACTATGGACTCTCGTAACTCCTCCCTTTGGCATCAGTTCTTGCCTGTCAGGCACACAAATCTATACCGTGCCTGACTGGTGAGATCCTATTTATCTTTCATGAGATAAATAGGATCTCACCAGTCAGGCACGGTATAGATTTGTGCTCTCATTCTGTGCAGCCTTCCCTAAATCCCTAACGCAGAAATAGTCACCCCTGTGCAGCAGCTGCACCTTGTGTATGCTCTGGTGCTGCTCTTTTCTTACTACAGTATCATTTTCTTTTTGTCTGTCACCTAACAAATGGTGAGTTCCTAAAAGGAATCACATTGTGTTCATCTGAAACACTGCCTGATATGAAGCATTGCTAAAGAACTATTTGATGAATTGACAGTGGCCTTGCCGGCTGGCACTCTTTGTTTGCCCTCTTCTACCTACATTCTTGTCTTATGCCAACATGATAAATTTCCCCAGCCTTGCAAACAAACAAGAACAGTCCGCCAACAGCTACTGTTATAAGTAAAAGACAATCCATGTGGCAATTAGAAGAAATAGAACTATACAGTCTAGTACTTGCACAGGAGCCAAGTACACTGGTTAAGAGCACTAACTTGAGAATGAGAACTCAACTTGTTAGCTATGAAGTCTTGGCCATGTGACTTAGCCTCCCTAAGCCTTAGTGTCCTCATCCAGAAAACAGTGGTCATAATAGTGCCTACCTTACTGTGAACATTAATGAGAAAATGCAGGGTGTTTGGTCCAAGGTAAGTTAACTATTAATAGCTGCAGAATCAGAGGACATTTTCTATTCTCTGAATTAAAGAAAGGACTTGAAACTACTGCCAAATCCCATTCCCTGTTGTGTAATCTGGAGGCATGGCCTTTGCTCTCCCTGGATTCTCTGGCAGCATTTTCCAATTAACAATCGCTTTTGTTGTTGTTGCTGCTGATGATGATAAATGGACATGTTTAATGATATATTGGTCTTCACAGAGATGACTACAGAGACTTTTAATCTATAATCCAGTAGGACACAACCATGCATCACAGACTAATTAGCCAGATGTAAAATAAACTAGCTTCTTACCACAAGTACCCTATAAACATTGCAACTATTCTCTCCAAAATGACCCTAATCTTACTTGAAAACACCTGCTGCGGGGGAACCGGAAACCTAGCTATGTGACCAAAACTAAAAATTAAAGGAAAAATTGCAATTCACTGTGAAAGCTGGTGAAAGCAGAGGAAATTCAGTGCCCTTCACTGTGCTGCTTTGATGTTACTTGTGTTCTTTTTGTCCCTCTTCTTCAGCCCATCCATTTTAGTTCTCAGTAGGTTTGAATAAGCCATCCAGAACTTATTCACTTCTTTGGAGCTCACCATAATGCTAATCTTCTTTTTCCCATCAGTAGTTCTTAACAGACACCTGTCTGAATACTGAAAGCCCACAAGAGAAACTTTCTTTAGAATGGGTTTGTTTTAACCTCAGTTCTCAAGGAACAAATGGTACCAGGAAAAGTCCACTGTAAGTGAACCCATTTTAAATGAGAATCAAAACATCATAGTAAATAGTATGGAAAAAAATTAGGTTTGGTCAAAACTTCAACTTGAGAAATAAAACCAGAAATTATAAAAATAAGTTTGCTTTACTGTTTATTTAACTGAGTTATATTATAATTGGAACTATGTACCAATGGGAACTGCCTAATTGACAATTTATATTACAGCAAGATAAAACATTCTCCACTTTATACAACGTTCTTTACTTCCCATTTGACTTTCAAAGCAAGATTATAACATTGCCCTTTTTTAAAAAATATTCACAGTTTTCATTGATTTTGCCAAGTAACTCAAATTTTCATTCTTTTATATTTACATCATTCTCTTTTGAATTTCCTGTCTTGTCATTATGCTTGCCAATTCTCTCCATGTTATTCTTATATTTCTTACATGATTTAACTCGGCAAGATCTAGACTTGCCAATGGCTTAACAGTTCTCCAGTATTACTTCATCAACTTCAACATGCTTCTTAGTTGCAGGTGATATTGTTTGGCTATGTCCCCACCCAAGTCTCATCTTGAATTGTAACTCCCACAATTCCCACATTTGTGGGAGGAACCTGGTGGGAGGTGATTGAATTATGGAGTGGAGCTTTCCTGTGCTGTTCTCGTGATGGTGAATGAGTTTCATGAGATCTGATGGTTTTAAAAACAACGGTTTCCCTGCACAAGCTTTCTCTTTGCCCCCTGCCATCCATGTAAGATGTGACTTGCTTCTCCTTGCATTCAGCCATGATTGTGAGGCCTCCCCTGCCATGTGAGACTATAAGTCCATTAAACCTCTTTCTTTTATAAATTGCACAGTCTCAGGTATGTCTTTACCAGCAGCATGAAAGTGGACTAATACAGCAGAATATGTAACTTCTCTTTGCCATTGATTTGAATTGTATGCTCTGCATTGTTAGACAATTAAAAGAAACTGACCACAAACACATTTATGAAATACATTTATGGGAATGATATCCAGAGTAGACTATACTGTCAAACAGTACTGTTGGATATGTGTTTGAGGAAAAGTAAACTTTTTTTTTTTTTTTTTTTTTTGAAGACAGGGTCTCCCTCTGTCACCCAGGCTAGAGTGCACTGGCATGATCACCACTCACTGCAGCCTTGACCTCTCAGGCTCAAGCTGGGACTATAGGCATGCACCACCATGCCCAGCTAATTTTTTCATTTTTTGTAGAAACCAGGTTTCACCATATTTCCCAGGCTGGTCTCAAACTCCTGAGGTCAAGTCATCTACCCGCCTAGGTCTCCCAAAGTGCAAGGATTACAGGCATGAGCAACTGTACCTGGCCGAAAATAAACTTTTAAGTGGTCAGTTAATTTGTTCACTCAACAAAACTTATTGAGCACCTAATATGTTCCAAACATTATTCTAGACCATGAGGAAATAGAAGCAAATAGAAAGAGAGAAAATTCTTCATGGAATTTATAATCCAGTGTGAGAGACAGAAAATGAACAATAAAATGTTTTATAGTGATCAGTCTTAAGAAGAAAAAGTAAGTTTAAGAGACAAAGAGTAGTGGGGGTTATATAGGATGCT